GGGAACCCTAGACCCCTAAACTCCTACCATTAAACCCCTGTAGAACTTGCATAGACATATGAAAGAGCCCGAACCCGAAGAGCCTTATACACTCAGAGAAACTGTAACTACAAACCTCGCACGGCACGCTAACTGCTACTCAAAGAACGCGATACGCCCTGAACCCTACCATCCCTGACCCCAGAACCCAAATCCTTCATTCTAAGAGTTAGACATAATTTCCTAAGGGTCCATGTACCCAGATAGTATATACTTTGGCCTTAAAGTAGTCCCTATATAGGTACTTTTGGGGCCAAAGTATAGACTAGTTGGGTACATGGACCCTCTGGGATTAGACCCCACTTAACCCAAAAATCACTCAAACCCTAAACTCGACAACGCGAAGCCCGCCTGCAAGCGACCTCCTCGGCTACTGCCTCGAGAGCTGTGCGCACCTGACGGGACCGAAGCCGTGGCTTTTGGGGTTTACTTGAAGAATGGGTTTAGGGTAGGGTTTAGGGTTTAGGGTTTAGGGTGTTCTGCGAGTAGGTGTCAAATTTGTTGCTTTTGGGAGCTTGTGCTTGAGATCGTTGTTTTGAGAGTTTGTGTTGAAATTGAGAGTCTTTGGGCGTTTAGGCTGTATAGTGCATTATGTCACCCCACGCCCCCAAGAAAGGATGACCTCGACGACCGTTCTTGAGACAGCGGGCCTGGAACGGCTTGTGGATGAATCGTGGAGATCCCCAAACCCTGAACCCTAAACCCCTACCCTAATCCCTAAACCCTAAACCCCTATAAACCCTGAACCCCTAAACCCTAAACCGCTAAACCCTAAACCCGAAACCCCAAGCCCCTAAACCCATCTGGCCTATCTGGAAGGCCGCAGTCCCAAACCCTTGACATGTAGGCGCCAAGCAAGTGCACTGATAATTCTAAGGCTAGGAGTACGGGCCCCTAATATGGACCCTTAGGCCTTTCTACAGGGACCCTCAAGGGTACGTATAGGGCATATAGTACGTGTATAAGGATCCCAGGGTTAAGGGCCCATACTATTGGCCCATGGGTTCAACCTTAGAATACTGCCAGCACCACGACACCAGGAGTTAGGCTTAGGGGGACCCCTTGGGATATAGACCCTCTCAAGAAGGTCCCGTTTAAGAGAGCCATAAGGGTTAAGAAGAGTCCCCTTTACGGCGTCTCCCTAATACTACTACCTAGGAGACACAGGCAAACTCAAAGGTAGCACGAACACCCAAGGACATGTCAAGCCAGCAGCGTGGACAGGCACTGTCTGCACAGCCCCAACATCCCACGAGCTCGAGCGTGAGGACGTGGAACTGTTTTATTTTCTGTTCTACGTATCCCAGGACTACCAATTGCTGACTGGCAAGACCAAGGACCTAAGGAGGCCCGCACCTCGCCAAATCCCGCCGAGAACGCCTAAACCCTTGCTGAATATCCTACACCCAAATCCCGACATCTTACCGCCGACATCTTGGATCTTGAACCCTGTGATCCACATATCAACAAAGGATAAATGATCCAAGCGAGGAGACTGGCTTTCACGATGCCCCAATGCCTTGGGATACTCGACCATGAGCCCACTATCGAAGAGAAGAGCCACGACCTCGACTTAAGGGTGTGGGGCTTTCGGGTTTAGGGGTTTAGAGTAGGGGCTTAGGGGTTTCGGGATTAGGGTTTAGGGCTTAGGGGTTTAGGAGTTTGGGGTTTAGGGTTCGGGGGGACTTTGGCTTGGGGGATTGAATTTCGGGGACGATGTGGGGTTAGGGTACCCTAGCTTCGGCTGACAGGAATGTGGAGGCAACAGTACGTGGATCAGGGGTTTACCATTTCCGAGCTGTTGCATGGAACAAGTGAAGGTCTTGCATTGATTGAAGCTTGGGGACCCGAGCTCAATCTACAGATCGTTAGCGCTGGAGTTACATTTCGCTTCGTGTGGGCACTTGCAAAACTCGCTGTCTCTCCCTGTCTCTCCCTGTCTCCCTCAAAGTAACTCTCGCTGTCTCCCTGTGTCTCTCTCGCGCTCTATGTGCTTGTACGATTGGTTGATTGACTATTGTTGCCTGGCTTGCATCGTTATGGTCCTTTCCACATGTATAGTTCCACGTCCATGTCTGTCTCGCTGTGCAGCTTTGCTACTTTCGTGCTTGTCTTCACGATTTCAGTACGCTCCTACTGCTGTGTGTGTGTTTGTGTCAGTGTGAGGGTCTGATTAACGGGGTTCCCAGCATGACGGTATGTTTGTGTTAGTTCTAGCGGGCTGGTACTGGAGTACCATTGCCACACACAGTGGCTCCTGCCCCGAGATTGTCTCTGATTGTTGTCATCCTTACCGGAATGCTCAGAACTTAGTAGTACAGAAAACAGATGATTTTTGTGGTGCTCGACACTTCTACTAAATTATGCAGGTAGTACTGAACTCGGAGGAATTGCAGATGTAGACTTGCTACTGCTTCCGGCCACTATAATACCACCACATACCATATAAAGGAACGATCTAGCATCCAAAGTCGGTGTCCTCTTAAATTAGCACAAAAATGTTGGGTTGATCTTCTGCATTCAAGTGGCATCTTTCTCGACCAGGCCCACAGCAGAGAGGGCAGTGTGCAAGGCACCCACGAGCCTGTGATGGTGTTTGGGCTCGGGGGTGCGGAGTTGCAGCGTCGGGAAGGTTCGTGGCCAATATTCCGAGACCTGTCCTTAGGGCTCCAGTTACCTAAATAGCAGGTTACTAGCCATATAATATGAAGCCCAGCAACCGAATATTTGGGTAACTGGAGCCCTAGGGTGTGCTATGGATGAAGGGTTTGATGGGAGAGCTTGCAGCTTTGCTTCGTGCCCTTATACCCCAACACTCAAACCTCTAGAGTCCTGCAGTTCGACCTTCCAAAGAGGCAGGTTGCAAGCGACACTTCCGGTCGAGATGGAAGACTACGCTTCAACCGTCCAGGATCGTCAACCGCCCTTGCACGGGCCACTGCCTAGCGAGACATCCTTCAGTTTGGCGCCTTCCCAATGTATTCTCGATGTGCAAGGGTTCAGGGTTTCGAGGTTTAGGGCTAAGAACAAATACCGAAAACAACTACCCTGACAACTGCCACCCCTCAGCAGAGACAGCAGCAATCCTTTGCGCATACCAACACAAATACTCTTTCAAAACATCGACATGCACAACTGCCAAACTCATGAGACGTGCGATCGATCTCCCAATGCTGCCTGCCATGTAACCTCTTAGCCAGTAACAGCTCTTCAGCCAGCCTCCGAAAACTGACTGGACATACTGTAGGGGCCTTAAGAATTAGAATCGGGTTTTGGGGCCCATTATACTATAAACATAATAAGGAACCCCCAAAATAATATAGGTAACTATTTAGGGCGCTATATTACACGCAAATCCTGCAGCGTATCCTTACAACTTATAAGCAGGCAGGGCTATGAAAGCACTAACGAGGCTTCCAAGAAGTTCGGACAGAGCCTCCAGTGCACACGGGGTGAAAAGATGCTTAAATTAATGCCCTGCCCCGGACCCAACATCCCAAACCCTCCTGAACCCCGGACACAAAATCCTAAACCCTCCTGAACCCCGGACCCAAGACTCTAAACCCGGACCCAAAAGCTCGAACTCCTAAACTTGTCCTAAACCCTAAACCCTTCTTCTGAGCAGCTGTTGCCACGTGATCCTTCAAAACATTCCTCGACGCTGCAACTGGGCCCAAGGCAACTCGTCGGGCTTCGCCTCAGGCTCTGGAGGTCCTGGAACAGTGTTACTGAGCGTGTGTGTGTGTGTGTCTGTCTGTCTGTCTGTCTGTCTGTCTGTCTGTCTGTCTGTCTGTCTGCACAAAAACACACACACACACACACACACACACATTCACATACATACACATGTGTGCATGTATATGTGTATGTGCATGTATACGTATATGTGTACAAGTGTAAATGTGAGTGTATGTGTATGCATATGCATATGCAAATGTATGCACTTGTGTCGATACATCAAACCAGCACCACCTGCGGCACCATCCGTATCGTAATCACTCCTACCCTGTGAAGTATGTGAACTCTTCACACCCTAAAAGCCTGAACCGCAGCTTCGGGGGTTAGTGGCAAATTTGGATTTCCGCCTCAACCTTCCGCACCGTAAATTCTAAACCCTAAACCCTCCTGAATCCTAAACCCTAGATCCTAAATCCTAAAACCCTACATCCTACACCCTAAATCCTAAAGCCTAAACCCTAGATCCCAAATCCTAAACCCTAAATCTTACACCCTAAACCCTAAACCTTAAATCCGATATCAAGCCGGGCCTTCCAGGCCCAGCAGTGACAAACTTCTCGAAGTGGCATGCCGCGCGAAGGGGCACGCCAGTCCTGCGTGGAGGCTACAAAGCAACGATGTGAGAGTGACGTGTAGTATACATACATACGTACATATTTATATATATATATATATACACATACATATACATATACATACAAAATATACATATATATATATATATAGATATACATATACATATGTGTATACATATATGCATACATTTCTATATATATATATATATACAGTACACCTATTGTATGAGTGTAAGCATGGCTTTGCAGGCTAGTTGCGGGAGGTTGGGTTCAGGGTCTATTGAGAATTTGGGGGTGGGGATTACGGTTTCGAGGTGGCTCTCAAGCTCGTGAGGCTTCAATCCTGAAGCTATGTGGAGAGTTTGGGGCTTTATCGGAGGCATTGGCCTTCAGGGCTTGAAGGTTTAGGGTCTAGTGCGTGAGGAGAGGCTTCTACGTACAGGTGACACATTGCACCGCGCAAGGCTGTTTTTCTCGAAAAAAGGATTGTGCGTCCGAGCCCCAGTGACAGTGGTTTCTACTAGGGGTGTGCATCCAGCTTTTCTGATCTGTAGGTTTACTTCACGTAGGTTATCAGCCGTAACGGCTTTAGGGCTAAGTCAGGTTGAAGTAGTTCAGTACTTCTGGGGGTTGTGTGTTTCCTAAGCGATGGATCCGATGGTGCGAAGCCGTCGGAACCCAGCCTCCGCGGGCGATCATGAGGCTACGGCAGCCCGCCTCGAACAGGATTTCCAGACAGCCTTGGGTCAAGAAGAACGTAACATTGCTGCTGTGGGTGTACCTGCGGTGGCACATCGCGGGGAAGCTTCGCCAGGAACCTTAGAGTCTGGTGTGAGACCGGACCTGGATCGTGGGCCGAGCCTCCCTGTGGCACATCCGTTTCATAGTGGCAGAGTTAAGGAAGAGGTTTCTTTGCAGAGGCAGAGGCCTCTGACTCTTGACGAGGACCAAGCAAGGGTGGCGGCCAGTGTGGGTCGAGCGTCAGCTGAGAATGAGTTGAAGATGGAATCAGTTGAACCAGACTATGCGCGTGTGTTTGGATCTGGAGGAGAGGCTGCGTCCATGGAACATGGACCGAGGGTGGCCCGTGTGGAAGCTGCAGATATCACTTGGGCTCCCCATCAGGGGTCGTCAACTGGGCCGATGGGTTTGGTTTCGGTTGGGGCAGATGCCCCTACTGAGCAGAAGGTCCCGGAGGAAGGCGGAACGAAGACTGAACCTGTGGCCCTTGAAGGGGGGCTGTTGGGTGAAGAGGAGCTACTTCCGGACCGAAGCTCACCTCAGAACTTTGAGGCCATTTTGGTGCAAATGATGGAGGAGAACAGGGCTTTAAAGAGGCGGCTGGAACAAGCCGAGCTGAGGTCGCACTCTTCGTGGCACAGTGGTGTTGCAGGAGAGGGTGGCGCTGTGGTGGCTTCTCCTATGTCTTTCTCGATGCCGTGTGGGCCCCAAGGTGCTGGAAGTGAGCTTAGAAGGCCGGATATGGCCTCCATGTCACTTGTACAGTCCCATGGACCGGAACCGGTCTGGTTTCCTGACTTCCCGGGGCCCAGGAGTGATTATGCTGATGTAAGGGGTTTCCCTGTTCCGTCTATAAGTCCTCAACCCGCCTTGTCAGGTCTTGTCGGTCAAAGTAAGATGGGATCCGAGGCACCATTTATGCCGAGTAATGAGGTACCTAAGGAAGGAAATCAGGGATGGGATGTTCCCTGGTCGGTTGTACCGTTTCAGGAAAGGGTGCCAGTGAGGGGTTTGGGACCTTCGGTTGCTGACTTAGGAGGGATGGAGAGGACCCAGTCTATGAAGCAGTTTGCTAGTGGGGTTCTCGGTAACCGCGAGGTTGAAACAGGGGGCTTTGTTACTCCTAGATCTTCAGGTGGAGGGTGTTCGGGGTTCGACCCTCAAGGATATCCTCTCTCACCGGGTGGTACTGTAATTCGACCTCCACCTGGCCCTCCACCGGCTTCACCGCGGGCGCCGCCTGGGATGACTGCAGGCGCGCCTTCCGTAGGGTTGGGGTACCCGTCGGCTATGGGGTCGTTTGGAGTTCAGGCTAGGACAGGTCTAGGGGTAAGTGATGTCTCTGTTCCCGGGAGTTGCGTGCAAGCCCCGTTTGGGGTGCCGGTTGCTGCTCCCATGCAGGGCGGGGGCGAAAGGCCGGAGGAGCCTGCTAAGTATATCAGCGAACTTCCCAAGCTAGCCCAGGCAGACTTGGCTACATCGGCCGTTGTGTGCGGTAATTGGATAGCCCAGATAAAGCAGGTTCTGCTGGGACTCTCGCCAACCGCAGATACATGGTTCAGTGCAGTCGAGTCGGCGGCAAGTAAGGGATATCAGAAATGGTTGACAGCGGACCCTTTAGGGAGGTTAGCACTAGATCCCTCGTCTATTGTTGCGGTCTATGATCCGGTCCGGTACCAGAGGGTTGAGAGCAGGGCCGTGAGTCTTTTACTTGCCGCGCTTCCAGCCTCCATCAAGGAAGACATCATAGTCAATAGATGGCTAGCATCTCCAGCGATTTTGTTTCGTATACTTTGTTTGTACCAGCCTGGTGGTAGTTCTGAGAGGGCGCATCTCTTGAGTCAGTTGGTTACCCCAGAGGCTTGCAAGAGCTTTGCTGATGTAGTAAGGGTGTTGCGGAGATGGCAACAGAGTCTACAACGTGCCACAGAAGTGGGCGCAGCTTTGCCTGATGCTTCCCTGTTGCTCCGTGGCATTGATAATGCCACGGCTTCTCTGTTGGGGAACAACCCTATGGTTGCGTTCAGGGTTAACTCCTATAGGCACGGGGTGGCCCTAGATTACAATCCTACGGTTTCGGGGGTAACTCAACTAGTACGGTTGTTGCAGGCGGAGGGTGAGGCGGCTGCACTCGTAGATGCCACTGGGGGTTCGGATAAGAGGGCCAGGGTAGCGGCAGTGACCAACCCTAAGGAGTCGTCTTCTCCTCCTAGAAATCCTCCACCCGGGGCGTCGTCGACAGCAGTAGCCGGAGGGTCATCAACTGCGACTGTAGCGGCGGTAAGTGCTAGCGGGCCAGAAGCCAAGGGGAAAGGTAA